CACTAAATTCATCCGTATTGACCGTCTCTTTGAAATACCTATTGCGTTTGTCGTCTTCAATGATGGCCAATTAGTTGATTCATTGAGCCTGAGAGTAGAGACTCCCCAGTATCTGCAAACTATCACCGAATCATTTCATACACTTAGGGCGTATTATTCGGGATTCGGGACTGGGTCCGATTACAAATCGGTAATAGGACCAGATATGGAATTTCATCCCACCCCACTTGTAGACGTTCGCAAACAACTGGCAGAAAAATTACGACCCAGAGAGAAAATTTTGTACGCCACAACTGATTCATATTGTAGCCATAATAATGTTTTATGAATTTATAGGAGGATATTTTGGGGAGCAGTTTCTCATTTCTGTTGACTTTTTTTTGTTTATTCTTTTCTCTCCTTAGCAAACGTGGTACGGTCGAATTTTGGCTCGGATCCAAATGGTTCGATCTACACGCGGAAACGGTGCAAACAATGACTCGCACACCGATTCCCTCAACTCAGCTATCCGCATATCGATNGTGAATCGTCACGATTTGTCACAATTCCGTTTCTCATGAACGGGATCACAGACCATTCCCCTCGATTTTTGACTTTCCCGTTTTCGCCACACCTATCGAGTTGACCTGACCTAACCGCATCAAAAACTCCTCCTCCTACTCCAAATCACTCAGTGAATTCCTCCAAATCACTGTTTCACTCCGCTTCCGCCCTTCTCCCTCCATCGTTTCTCTAAGGTTCATTTGCGTCAAATCCAAGATGATTAATTGTACGAATAGTTCAGGGTAGATAGCCACAAAGCTGATGTGATCACGTTCGTTTTGAACTAAATCGGACTTTCGACTTACCGGCAAAACGATCCCCGTAATTTCGACGTTTTGCTTCCGAACGTGGAGATCGCTTGTTGCTCTGCGTGCTCTCTACCTGTACACAATCTGATCTTGATTGAAGTCCGATTTGATCTGGTGCCTACTCGACCTCATCCGCCCCCCTCGCCTGATATAACCTTTCGCATTGAGTGTGCATTTCATCCTCACCCACCCCAATCAATCAACCAACCACCTACGCATCCTTCATTACCATTCTATGTATGTGTGTGTGTGTGTGTGTGGCGGTGGTAGTGGTGGTGATGGGCATCTGCATTTAGATGAGACGTATAAATATCCTGAAATGCTTTGCTGTGATTCACCGCTGTCCCTCATTCTGTATTGCCTATCGAATTGTCTGTTTGCCTGTCTGTCTGTCTGTCTGGTGGTATGCGTGTGCACTGGGAACAAACCTTCCCCGTTCGCCTTCAGCAACCGACCAAACAAAATTGATCTTACCGTTTGTTGGCAAAGTGTCTGTTCTCACCCAGCAATAATGTCTCCTAGCCTTTCCATCTGGTGGCCATAGGTCTCCTCTTTGTTTTTACACACACACACACACACACACGCTTCCATCCCCACTTGAGCCCTGGCACCGTACGCCCCACCATAATACGCCCAAAAGGCGCTTCCACCACCCGAGTTTCCCTCCAAATTTTCATCCCACGAAAACCTTATGTTCTTGTTTCTACTTCACCAGCGCATTGTCCTCCGTCCCCTTCTGGACCCTGCCAGCCCGTTGTATTTCCTTCCTTTTCATACAGACCACATTTCTCACCTCCCCCACCCTCCCCCCTCACAGTTCGACCATTCACAACAGAAACATCGACCCCAACACTCCGCTCTTCACGCACGCACGCACGCACGCACGGACACACTTGATCAATACGGTACTAAAGCTGCTCGTCCAATCTAGGGCCGGTTGTTGGTCGGTGTTTCTTTGACGAATAGAAAAAGTTACACTGCTCTCGTCTTTTGTTGTCGAAATATTTTGTCTTTATAGATTTATTGTGAGTGGATGACTCACCTGCACAAATTCGGCTTTATCCTAGTCCGGTCTATTGGCGACAACATATATGTAAGCTGACATACGGAAACCAATCACATTTTCGATTGCTGCTGACTGCTGCACGTGATCAGACAGCAAACAGTGCAACGTGTGTAAGCTCTGACAGCCGAAAAATCGACGCGGGACCGAGGGATTGGCATACAGAAGCGGCACCAACAGTGCAAAAAGTTGATGGTCATACCGATTCCTATGAGAAAAGGGAAGCATAAATTAGTTTATGGGGAATAAGCTCGATGTGACGACTAAGAGTCTGGCCGGATCGGTAAGTCGTGAATGTTGCATGCAGTTGCTTTCAGCGAGCACTTGTCGCATACAATGGCACGTATTGGATTAGATCCTTATCAGATGACGAGAATCTATGGCAGCAAACGAACTATTTTGATAACAGAGCTTTTGTATGAGTTACTATGTTGGGAGGAGACTTCGAAGCTACTCCGGGTAAATCACTTAAAATCGATAAAATTCATGGGGTATCGAAAGAACCGTTAAAAATTTAGAGTATCAAGCTTGGATTAGCCCATTCGATTGTTCAGAGGTACCGTTAAAAATGTTTAAGAAACCAATTAGAGAAGATAATGGAGTAGACATAATTCTCAGAAATGAGGTTGTCATCCATCCAATCAAACTTTGGAATCTTGTAGTATTCGGAATAGGAATCGAAATCGAATAGCGCGAACTCAGTATCGGACTGAAAACCCACTGAATAACGCAAAGTCAGGTAGAACCAAAGCGAGCTGTGGATACAGTTAATTCTATTCAGAAAATCATGGAAATGTATATTACAAGCAACAAACAATCATTGGTCGATCCTTGAATGTCCAATCGACAAGGATATGGTTTATCTGTTTGCCTTCTTGCACTCAGCCGATCCGGATAATGCCGANATTGAGACCACAGGGTTGGTCGGTTATCCCGCTTCTTGATTGGTTACCTGGAAGCTGTACCGCGGTGCGTGCGTACTCGGTACACGATCACCACAGATCTGTAAAACATGGTCAGGTTAAGACTTGAGCACAACGGTGACGATCACCTGTATCACTTTGGCATCTCCTTTAATTCGACGTATAAGTAGGAGGGGTGTGTGTGGTGAATCTCGAGTGGACTAGGATCTGAATTGCACCTCATCCAACCTCGTCCATTCCGTTCTCCAGTGCATCCTTAAGCACTGTGCCAAGAACTCTATACTGAGTAAAAAGATTTGCAATATTCCACGGTTTCGCAGTCAGTTTTAGCTGCGGAATGGAGACTGTGAACATGGAATGATTTCAAAGGAAGAAGTTCAGGACTGCCAAGTCAAACAAAGTCATAGTTTTATTATGGGCGATTTAAAAAAGCTAAACCTCATCTTTTAAATAACTTTACGAAGACAAAATAATAATAACAATAATAATAATAATAATAATAATAATAATAATAATAATAATAATAATAATAATGATATTCATGAGCACTCACGGATGTCGAAATGTTAAATGTTTCAATGCTTTATCAAGTTGCGATTTAAAAGGTTTAACCTTAAGAGCGCACACTACATAGGATGGAAGAGAATTCCATACACCGCACACTTTGACTGCAGATAAGTAATGCCGGCAATCAAGGTGGCTCTTCTGGGTCTTTGCCTTTAGTGGGTGTCCCCTGACGTAATCATTTTGAGGTAAAGTCAGCATAGACCGGCAAGGATGGTAGGGTTGATGCAATATGTAATATGCCAAGATTGGGTCCCCCCGAAGTCGGCGTTATGGAGATGAGCAGTCTCATTATTTGCAGTCTTTCGGAGTGTCTTGTTATACAGACCTTTTACCAATTTTGTTGTCAACCTTTGCGAACGTTCTAGAACCTTCCAGTGGCTGTTCAACTATGGATTCCATAGTTGAACGGCGTACTTCGTGCACCTGTAAGCGTGAGAATAATGCTTTTTCAAAATGTCCGAAAACACGTCTGAGTAGTCCAACTCGCTTTAGAGTCATGAATGTTGCCCTGGTGCAGTGCGTGGAACATCCTGCGCCCTCGTGTACCATAACTCCCAAATCCCTTTTATCAGTGGCATGCGGTAGTATTTGGTTCCCCAGAACATAGGATAAACGAGTCTTATGCCGCATAGAAATAACTTTGCACTTAGAAACGTTGAACTAGATATCACTGGCGATTGACCATCCGTAGGGTGTATCGACAGTTTGTTGGAGTGCCATGTAATCCTCGGGATTTGTTACAATTCTCCAGATCTTAGATTCGTCCGCAGTGTATTCGGCCCAAGGACATGTGGCAGGTTATTTACAAATGCAAGAAAAAGACGAGGCCCCAGTACGGATCTTCGAGGAACCACTCGGACAACGGTTATAGGTTCTGATAACGAATCACAAACACGAACCGAGGTGGTTCTTTGTCGGAGAAACTCATCGATCCAGTCGATTAGCAAACCTCTTACTATGTAGTTTTAGAGTTTTCTCAGTAGAATTTGGTGGTTTAATTGATCAAGTGCTTCGGAGAAGTCCAAATAACATATATCCAATGGACGGATTTCGTCCACTCATCTCGTGCAAGAAGTAGATTTGCGGTGCACGAACGCTTGTGCTGAAATCCGTGCCGAGTTCGAGACAAAAGCTCATGCTTCTCCAGATACTCCATCAATAGATCTGCTACAATAACCTCCATAACTTTCGACAGTTTCGGAAGAAGTGTAACAGAGCGGTAGATGACGGTGGTGGCCAAGTGATTAGGTCACCAACTTGTGACCTGGAAGTCCCGGGTTCGAACAGCTCCACTGCCGCCCGTCTTCCCAGGCAGCCTTTGAATGGCTGCGGCCCCCCTTCCTGCATGTTGAATGCACATTCGTATAATCAATAAACAAAAAAGGAAGTAAAAGACATTTGCATTTACATTTTTACATCACTGCGACAGCCCCCTTTGTAAATGGGTGAAATCACCCCTTCCTCACACGGTTGCGGAATTACCGCCTTGTTTGGTAAAGAACAGCTCACCCACCTGAATGGAATATCAAATTATTCGCGCACCCTTCGATTAGCTGCGCTACAGTTACACGTTCTCCGTCACATTGTGGGAATTTTCATGTTTCACTCACTATCATGCGCGGTCGGTACTCACGGGATGACATTATTTGTTTCAAACGTGCCAGGACATGCTTCGATGGTTCAGCGGTTTGTACGACACCATTTTCTCACTGTCCAGGCTGGACCAAAAGACGCAAGCGTGCTGGATGACAAGTGGCCCTTAATGACACTCCTCTCTCAAAGATGACTGTTCCCTCACCGGTCAGCATCAACACTCGGTCCCTGTTTCTCAAAATGTCGGATTTAACTAGTGTCTTCCGATAAAGAATTAATACAAACACGTGTGCAGTCTGTTTTCAAGAATCCCGACTGAATAAAGACGTGGATAACTGTAGTATTCGGAATAGGAATCGAAATCGAATAGCGCGAACTCAGTATCGGACTGAAAACCCACTGAATAACGCAAAGTCAGGTAGAACCAAAGCGAGCTGTGGATACAGTTAATTCTATTCAGAAAATCATGGAAATATATATTACAAGCAACAAACAATCATTGGTCGATCCTTGAATGTCCAATCGACA